AAATGATGGATCAGCTCCGGTCTAGATGTCCCTATGCACGCTACCTTTACAGCCTCTCCGGTCAGGGTGGCTGGTCATCGTCAGAAGTCGTGTGGTTTACTCCGTTCAACAGAACAAGCTTCCTTCGAAGTTGTAGGGCGTTACGCCCGGGTGAGTTCACAGCGAGGCACTGTAACTCCGCTGGGATGGCCGGACCCTCGTCTCACGGTCAAATCCATCAGCTATTGATTAAATCTGAAAGTTCCTTAGGAACTCTCAGTAAGACTCCCGTCAGATATTCCACTCAGAAGTAGAAGACTCCATAGTCCCAAGAAAGACTCAGGAAAACTGCAGGAAGACTGAAAGAAGACTCCAGAAGACTGAGAAAGAACTGAATAGTCCCAGGAAGTGTTGACTTTTTAAAGAGTACTCACTTCCGGTCACTTGGTACTTCCTGGTTGGTTGAAACAACCAGCAGGGGCGGTGTTTCAGTGATGTCAGAGGGTTATTAGGAGTCAAAAAGACAGCAGGAATGTTTACGAACGGTTAGTACAGACAGAGGAATGTTATGGCGAAGTGAGACAAACGCAGATGCCAACTGAAGTTATTTACTGTCTGCTAGGTTTAAAAACAAAGCACTTCATTCTCATAACTTGCTTTCTGACTTTTGACCGACATCCCTGACTTCTGACCGACATCACTACTCCTCATTCAGACAGAAGATCAAAATGCACAATTACTTTGTAAATAGACATTTAAAATGATTTCTAAGTCTGCTGAGGTTTAAAAATCATTAATACTGTTTCACAGTTGATTTTAAATGAGTGGTTCACTTCAACATTTAGAAATGGTATGAACTAAACACACTTTGATTATCAAGATATTCTAAAAAAGTAATGATAATGTAAAAAGGAAGAGTGTTCTTTCAATTGATTAATTCAGGATACAATTAAATAGTCTCTTGATGAGATAATTTGTATTTCTGGATTCAAATCAATGAAATAGCAGTTCCTGTCCCCTGAAGGTCTTCAGAGACAGGTTGAGGTCGGAGGCCTAGTTCACTACATGGCCATGACCATTATGATATGATGTTATGTGGGGGAGTGGTGGAGCAGAGGTTAGAAGATGGGCCTGTGATCGGAAAGTCGCAGGTTCAACTCCCGGTACCGTCAACATCAAAATGTGGGTGGAAAAGGTGAAACACCCACACCTGCCTCCACCCTCACTGGCTCCATTCTGGGCCCCTGAGCAAGGCACTCAACCCCCACCATCTGCTCCTAAACAGGTCTCTCTTTAAAATGAGTTCTCGTGACTCAATGAGACTACCTGGATAAATAAAGGCTAAATGAAAAAAATAAAAGTTTAAAATAGAAATACTCACATCATTAGGCCGAGGTTGTGTGTGTGATGTGCATGTTCCTGAGGTTGTGTGTGTGACGTGCACGTTCCTGAGAGGCCACAGACAGAGCAGCTCCAGCTTTTGTTGAGTTCCTGTAGTCCTGCAGGTTTCAAGCTGAAATGAAAAAACATCATGAATATGAACTTTACAGTCTCTAGTTACCTGTTCATATAAACACATGGAGGTGTCTCACCTTGTGACTTACAATAAAATATGTAACTTTATGAACTCTAATGAACTTATAATGATGCTCCTACTCTTTGAAGGTGAACCGATGGTACCACACCATCTCTCAGTCGGACAGTCTGATCAGTTTGATCAAAATCCTCCAGTTTAAAATCCTCTCTGCTCAGATGAATCCTCCTCAAAGATACTTCCTCCTCTTCCTCACATCTTGTTCTTTGGGAAACCTTCAAAATGAAAACAGGAGATTTGTGTCTACACAAAAACATTGTACAGAGGAGGTCAATCTTATTTTCTGTTTCCTATATTCTCCCTAGTTTTAATTTTTTATATCCTAGAACTTTAACAAAACTCCAGTTCTGATACATATCTGTTGATAATGAACCAAAGCTGCTGAAATAGTGAGTTTGCTTGTTAGAAAAATATTCCTGTCATCAGATCTCAGTCAGCTTCATTGCAGCTGAACACCGTGTTACACTGAACATCACATCAGCTGGTGGACATAAATACAGTACAGTAATATTATATTCACAAAATACTAACAATAATATGTTCATCTTATTTGTGAAAAGTTATCCCCCGAGACCTGACGTCAACAGTCCGTCGATTAGAACAGAAATAAACTGCGAAGTGCTGAGACATCTTCTGCTGTAACCAAATAAGGACGACCGCTCCAAGATGGCAGCCGAAAATCCTGCGCCGCAGCAGCCAATGAGGGATCTAGTAATTATATGATATCTATGGTGGTTACCATCTTGAACAGGACTGAATAATAAAAAATTTAATCAGATGTGCATTCAATATTTGCTTTCTGAGTTTCATTCAAATGTATTCAGTGGTTCATGAGACATGTTGCTAACAGCACAGACAATTAAACACAAGCACAAAAACATAGGCAAAAACATTATTGCTCTAACTTTACCTTCTGCACCGGGTGCTCCTTATTCTTTGAAGCTGTGGTGTACAATAAAATCTGCCTTTTTTATCATCCTGTCCAGAAAAATACTCCAAACCTTTATCTTGGATAATAAATCTTTGAATCCACACCAATCTAGGCACATTCATTGATAGACTTATAGTTTCACAAAGAGATCAACATACCTAGTTATTTGTGCTGCAATAACTCAAATATGTTTTCACATGTTTGGATGTGCTCTGCAGTTCATCCATGCATCTAAACCTGCAAGAGAGGAGGTAGCAGCAGAGGTGTACGAAGATGAAGTGGATCTGCGACGTTCTGCTTCGTGCCTCAACAACAGCTTCCGCTCTGCTTGGAGTGAGCACAGCATGGATCCAGACGATTTCCGGGTAAAGCCTCTTCTCCCCTTTAACAGCAATCAATTTAACTTAGGACATAATTTACAATATCTATAAAAAGATACCTCAAATTATGTATTAATACAAGTAAAATAGATGTCCATTGTTAGAATAAAGTTTTAATTAGCAGTAAATTGATTTTGTTCTTATCCTGACTTTTCCTGACATAATATGTTTCCAATCATTCCTCTAACATGTTACTTTCATGTCTTTTCGTCTTTGTCATATCAACTCATTGCTCAATCCTATCATTGTTTCCTTGCTTTTTTATATGTATCAGGATGAGCTAAAGAAGTTGTATACTCAGTTAGAAGTGAACAAGACAAAGAAGATGACCGCAAACAACCCTCATCTGTCAAAAAAGCGCAGTTCTCGTTGTACGCTGGGGAGATCCCTTATAAAACGCATTGCCGAGTTCCCAGAAACTGTGAGCCGGCGGTGCAGTCGTGATGACAGAGATGGATCTTTCCGCAGCAGACGTGGAAGTCACTGCGACTCTTTTAGGAGGTCCCCGGATACCATAAGTATCAGTTACCGAAGTTCAATAAAATCACCATCACCATCCATACGCAAGTCCCAAAGTGATCATTTCTATATCCGAGAAAGAGGCTCTTCATTCCGTGAGACTACATTAAAGAGCAATTCTGTGAAGAGATCCTCCCAGCGATCTGAGACAGACTCCTTGGACATTCCACCAGGGGTCTGTAAGTCAGCCAGTGCTCACAACTTAACAATCGATACAAATCTTCTGCATCCTGATCACACAAGACTTCATAAATCCTGGAGCCTAAGCTCCTCTACCACACATTCTATAGAGAATATATCAAAACTATCTAGATCAAGCACAATGCGGTCCAGGCAGAGCATTTCCATAAGTGACCAAACCAGGAGTGCTCTCCAGTCTGAGTCATTTGACAAGGCTGAGATCTGTCCATGGGAAGTGGAACCAGAACAGCCAGGAGAAAAGAACCAGAAGCATGTCACATATGCAAATTCCAAGAATGGAGAAGAAAAAGGCCCACTTTCCCCACAAGCAATTGTCTGTCCTTGGGACCATTTGCCAACAATGGAAAAGGCTCATTTGATGGAGAAAGGACCACAAGCTGCCAGTGTGTACTCAAAAGCACCTGTTACAGTGTCAGCAAGTGCACCAGGCTCTCCCAGACCAAAGGTGAAAAAGGATCAACGTGTTTTCTCCTTCCGCACCACTACTAATAAGTGGTTGCATGTGAGATCATTTATGACATCCATGGATAGCAGCAAGTCCAAAGATCAAACTTTAAATAGAGACGATTCAGGTTCGCAAAAAAGCCAAGAAAGTATGTCCACAACGCCAAGGTCTGGGACATCTAGTAGATGTCCAAGCATAGAAAGGAGAACACTTCAGAAAAAAAGTATGTCAACCATAGAAGGTAAACCCTGCCTTGTGAAGCAGCACGCAGTCAGACTGTCGTCCACTGATTCTTCGGACAGAAGCCCACGAAGGTTTGTGCTTGTAAAATCTGCCATTTACCCAGGAGAAATTGATGATATACAAAAAGATGGCAACTACGAGCATGTATTTTTATCCAGACAGAGCAGCAAACGCAGTAGTATAAGTTCCTGGGAGACCATTAGCAGCTCTAGAACTCCTTCGACTCGTAGAAGGGGTAGTAATCGAATTAGACCAGCCTCTAATGTCACTTACACAGATCATTATGATGCGGGTGGCTTTACAAAACAAGGTGAAGTACCAAGAAAAGAACAGAGCACCAAAGCAAGCACTTGTCCCCAAGAATTGCAGGTATCAGAACGATCTAATGTTTGTTCATGGGAATCACAAGAACAAGGAAATCTGATAGGACAAGAAATTGGTCGGGAATTGCAGGACACTTCTGCTAGTTCAACAACCACAGTGTTAAAAGATCCACATACTCAACAATCCATACAGCATGTAGAAGATGTATGTCCTTGGGAAGCTGCAGAAACCCCACAGATTTCAATAAGACAAGACAGCGAACATGCCAGTGTATGTCCATGGGATGTTAAGGACAAGGCTGACGTTGTATATGAAAACCTAAATTCTTTAGAAACCAAAGGTACACTGGCTGTACCTTTTCGTCAAGAAGCCATGAAACCTACCATCTATCCTGGTTCATCTAGAGAAGTTTTAAGCAGTGGCTCACTACCCAATACCTTAAATCAGAGTGAACAGTGGTACAAGATAATTGAAAGCTGTCCATGGGATTTTCCTGATCCACCTAAAACTATGGAAGATGTTTTTCCATGGAAAAAGGTTGGCAAAGAACTTACAAATACGGATTTAAGTTTAGAAATGACACCTAAGATAGACATTAATAGAGAAACTAGAAATCAAAGCAAACTTGATGTGTCAACAAAATTTGTGTCCATACAAAATAAAGGGACAGAAAATGCTAGGGTAAATGTGTGTCCCTGGGAAACCGAGCTACCCGAACAAAACGTGGCTACCAAAATGGTGTCACAAGGGCTAAAACAACCATCAGATCCATGGGAGAATGAGGAACCAAAATCAGCAAACCCAGAGACACCCAAAAAACCAGAAATCTGTTCACAGCAAGACAATGCTCGTGCAAATGTTTGTCCATGGGAGACAAAGGAGTATGAGGTACTTCATTTTAAAGAATCAAAATCATCTGAATCTGGTACCACAAAAGTTACAAAAGAGCAAGAAAATGCTCAGACAGATGTTTGCTCAAGGGGGACCAAGGAATCCAAAATTTTCAAAAAGCAAGATAGCAATCGGTCAGATGTTTGTCCATGGGAGACCGAAGAACCGAGAATCCTCAAAAAGAAAGATAGTGCTTTGACAGATATTTGTCCATGGGAGACTGAAGAACCAAGAATCCTCAAAAAGAAAAACAGTGCTTTAGCAGATGTTTGTCCACGGGAAACGGAAGAACCAAGACTCCTCAAAAAGAAAAACAGTGCTTTAGCAGATGTTTGTCCATGGGAAACGGAAGAACCAAGACTCCTCAAAAAGAAAAA